GGGATGGAGGGGTATATATATTCTCTTGAGATCAATGGAATAACCAAGAAAGTCATTTACCAAAATTCTATACTTTTTTTTGGAAAACTTCTCCTTTTTTCCAGCGAAGACTCTTAGCAATTGTACTGGTGGTGAAGATTTTCTTTTTTATCTCCTTTTAAGCTTTTGATTGAATTGGTTCCTTGACATGATATCAGAGCCTTGTTTACTAAGAAATCACGACTTTGATACTAGGACCATAATCACAAGCTTGAGCAAACTTGAGCTTTTAATTGAATTGATTCATTGACATATCTATATATTTTTGTGACTCATTTAAGTGTATACGTAGCTTATTTTTAAATTCTATTGCACATGTGGTGCTATTTAGAGAAAGTCATTATGTTTTAATGCTATTTAAGTAAATTCTCCTTTATTTTTTGCTTTTGGTATTATTTATTAAAGTACTTTGTGCAGTTTATGAAGGCTATTTTACTCTCTTTACATTATTCATCTTTTTATATCTTTTTTCAATTCATTATATATATCACCAATGATAAAAATTTAGACTCTAGTACGATAATTAAAAAAATTAAGTCACTCTTTTTTATTTTTTGACGAACCAAATTCATTTTAATTGTCCTATATGATGAACTCTAACTCTTGGTTCAATTCACTTGTGGGGTTGGTCTATGAATTTTTTAAAACATAAATTTTCCTACCAAACCAATGGCAATTAGGGAGTACAACACAGTAGTGTTTATACTTTATACCTATTTGGCTAAAACGTGCACTAAATTTTTAATTTCTTGCTTGTATCAGATTAGGAAGAATATTGTTTTGTCCCTAGACTAAAATCAAAGAAGTGATACTCCCGCTCTCTCAAATTAAATTAATATTTTTACTTTCTTTTCGTCAGTTCAAAAAAATGTCATAATATTTTACTTCTATAATAAAATAAAAAAAAAATGCAATCCACATTTCTTATTCTAAAAAATTCAATCATTCATTTTTTTTATTTTTCAATTGTGCCAATTAATTCAAGGACCGGAGTATTTCTTTGCAATTAGAAGGAAATTAAAACATGGAGAAATGCAAAACAAAATCAGATAACTGCCAAAAAATGTACGTACAAAACTTTGTAATTAAACACACTGAGAATATAATTATACGGAGTATACATCACGAGATCAATTCACATAATAGTTCACTTAATTAGGCAGCATGCATTTGCAGGTGCTTAAGAATCTGTAATTAGTTCCAAAATTAGGAAGTAAACATGTCAAAATATAAAAATCATACACTTCCAAATATTTTGAATTGAACCAATTCAGTAAATGAAGAATCCAAATTAAATGAACTGCATGTGACTAGGTAGGTGTCGTCCAGATTAAAGGAATTTTGAAGCCATTCGGCCCTTAAAATGTCCAATACTAATTAAGTTGTGCTAAAACCTTAGTTATATTTTGATCTATTTATTTTTTACTTCGGATGTGAGACATTCTCCGTGCGGATGCTTATTTGTCTGATATTATTTCATGGAAGTAAAACGACATAAATAATATATATGTCATTTGGAAATATTCATAAATAATGAGGGACGATTTTGTAAATACCTGGTCAAAACGGAGAAAAGAAAAAACTATATTAAAAATATGTAGCAAATTAAAGACCTAATTATTTTTTCTGTTTTATAAACAGCTTGTAAGTCAACTATATGTACAAAGAAACATGTCCTCAACTGACTTATAAATTAAAAATTGTTTATAAATATTTTTGATCAGCTTATAAGCATCATAAAGTTAATTTGCTCTCAAAACTGTGTACTATTTTTTCTAACTTCTTTCACTTTCATTATATTCTTTGAACCGACCAGTAAATCGTTGACCGAAAACCAAGCTAACCGAAATTTCAATTTTGGTTTTGATTTCGGCATGTATAAGCTATTTCCGGCTCTAAGTTGTCTTTGTCATTTTCAGTTTTTGGTAAGAGAAAATTGAACGGGCCAAATAAAAGTTTTTAATTTAATGCAAAAAGAAAGTACTTTATGAGTATTTTTATGGGGCCAAATAGCTCTGGAGCCCCTGTGATTTGGAAAATTGGCACCAAAACCCCCCTGTTTTCAAAACTTATTTCTAAAGTCCCCGTGGTTTCAAAACGTTGCACTCACACCCCCTCTAATCATTTTACGGCCATTTTCCGGCGAAGAGGGGGCATTGACACATAATTTCTAAACCATAGGGGGCATTCGTGCTCATTTCTTGTTTTAGTTTATTATTTGTGTTTTCCTTTTTTTTAAATATTTTGTATCTCTTTTTCCTTTTCCTATATTTTTTTTAAAAACATATTTTAAATTTTTATAATGTTTTAAAAATTTTAAAATTCTTTGTGTTTGAAATAAAAATAAAAATATAAAAATTAACATACATTAAATCTATCTCAAATTAAACATTTTCACTTTTTTGTAGAATAATTTTTTGGAAAGTTCGAAAAACCCCAGAATAAAAAAATACGGAAAAACGAAATGAAAAGAAATTAAAATACGCAAAAAAAGTCTTATACAAAAAAATTTGGACACGCCTAAAAAAGTCCTTATAATTGAGATGTCCAAAAAAGATATTCATTTTAATTTTTGTATTATTTTTTTCTTATTTTATTCCTCATTTTTCCAAAGTTCTCAAAAAAAAATTCTTTTTTTAGAAAAAACAAAAATTGTTAATTTCAGACGTACATATGCATTATATTTTATTTTTTCAAACAAAAATAACTTTAAATTTTAAGAATATTATAAAAACAATTTTAAAAACCCTAATTAATAAATGATACAAAAAAGGAAAAATGGAAAAAAAAAAATAAACGAGAAATAAAAATCAGCACTGACACCCCCTATGGTTTAGAAAATATGCACCAATGGCCCCCTTCTTCGTCGGAAAAATGGCCGGAAAATGATCAGAGGGGGCACGGGTACAACATTTTGAAACCACAGGAACTTTAGAAATAAGTTTTGAAAATACAGGGGGTATTGGTGCCTGTTTTGCAAACCACGAGGGGTACCGATGCTATTTAGCCATTTTTATGGACTAGAGAGTGTATAATTTACTTCCTTTGTCCCACAAACCTTTTCTCTTTTTTTATCCGTTCCAAAAAAATTTTCTCATTTATATTAAAACGTCATTTTTGCCCACATTAAATCTTAAGCTACCTATCACATGATACTTTTTCACTATTAATCAATCTATCACATCATATTTTTACCCGTCACATCTAAGAGCATTTTAAGAAATTCAACACTAAAATACGTTTTTCTTAAGTTCGATAAAAGTCAAAATAGAAAGGTTTTGTGGAACGGAGGGAATATACTTATTAATCAATTCTACTTTTTACATGAGTCTATATTAATTAAAGAATTAAAATAAAATTAAACTAATCAAAATTCTGGTTTTTCAAACCGGTTTTATTTTAAAGGTGGTTTCTTATTTTTTTTTTAAAAATAAGTTTTTAATCGTAATAAAAAGAATAGAGCCTAAGTCTATAAATATTTTTTTTCGTTGTACACATTTTAACATATTTAATGTATACGACTTAAAATTATTTTAAAAATGAATGATTAATCATCGATTCAGAGATTGAATTTCACTTAGGGTCCGTTTGGTATACAAAATTGACAGAATTGGAATTCAAATTTCATGGGATTCAATTCCATAGAATTGAAATCTATCAATTCCAATTCATTTTTTGCACTATCAATTCCAAATTCACATAGTTTTTGTGCTACCAAACATCGGAATTGGAATTGAAGTCCTCAATTCCAATTCCATAGTTTGAATTCTGTGTACCAAACGGGGCTTTAAGGTTTGTTTGGTATACGAAATTGACAGAATTGGAATTGAATTGGGAGTTGAAATTCTTTTAAATTGATTTAGATGAAATTAAATTCTTACATTCTAATTTATATTTGGCCCTATCAATTCCAAATCTACGCATTTTTGTACTATCAAACAGCAAAATTAAATTATTATCCTTAATTCTAATTCTATAGTTTAAATTTTATGTAACATACGAAGCCATAAGTACATATTGGTTATGGCTTACCTTGAATCTTGATATCGAATTTCAACCCCTAATTAAGAGCAACAATTACAAATAACTCAAACCTAAACTCATACTCATGGCCCATAGATTTTTACACAGCTTTGGGCATTCTCTCTCTAAAGCCCATAGATTTGTTCACTAAGGACTAAATTAAAACTTAGTTGAAGGAATCCAAATGAATATCCTTATTTGGGCCTAGACCTCAACATCATTCTTGGTTAACTAAATGGGCTTTGTAAGACTTTCGTTTAGCTGTACCTACCACTGTAGTCTTTAATGGGCCTGTAGCACGCAAAGACGGGCCTGTTTGGAAATAATATTAGAGATTAGTGTTAGTGTTTTAGATAAAATTTTAACGGTGAACACTGCTCGTAGATAGTTTTTTCAAAGAGAGAACCCCCTAAATAGGAGTAAAAAACTATGAAAATACCAAAATAGGAGTTTACACTACCATTGGTACATTGCCACACTCACTACATTGTCACATTGTAACTGTCACATTATCAACGCCACACTTGGCTTCCATCTGTCGCCGCCAGCCACCGGAGTGCCGCTGCAGATCGTCGACGGTTAACTGATCATACTGACATATTAGAGTGTCATCAGTTTTTCATCACACTGCTAATGCGTATGCTTACACCACACTGCCATCATACACCTATTTTAGTCTTAAAAGATACGGAGTATATGAGTGGTATTTCAAACTTTTTTTTATGTATTGTGGAACATTTCTCTTTTTCAAAACTACTCTCCAACACTATTTCAAAAAAGACCCTACATCCACATTCTGCCTTTTTAAGGGACGGACTTCAAATTTGAAAACTTTGGACCTTTAATCGAGCGAGCTTTGAATCCTTGGATGAATGAAAGGAAGACGATGAAGGTCATGAAGCGAAGGTTCAAATCCGACACCAGAGATCCATCTCGCGTTCAGAGCTCTTCAATCGGCGACTTTCCTCGAGATCTGGATTCGGACTGCCGAAATGGTATTCCGATCGCGCTTCGGATCCTTTCATTCTTACCGCCGTCCTCCTGCGTAAAGCTTTGATTCAGATGTTAATCTGTCTGCATTTTCGATTTTGCTTCTTCATTTTGACATCTGTTATCGAGATTTTGCTTCTTCATTCTTACCGTCGTCCTCTAGCTTGAATATACTATGCGTTATTAGTGGTGCTTTGATTAGTTTACTCGTTGCTTCATTTATCAAAGAATGCCATTCCTCAATCATCATCTGTTGGCTCTCTGTAAATTGTACTTTTTGTGATTATATGTTGCGCTTTCACAGTGACTACATTTCATATATTTTTTCCCCTTTGGATAGGTAAAAGCAAGGGGAAAAGAGTGAGAGTTACTGGTATTGACAGAGAATGTCTGGAAAATTATGTATCAGGTGATTTTTCTGCAGGATATGAAGCTAGTAGGGATCTTAGATGTAATTTATTCCATTTTAATTGTTGTCTCCACTCTCCTGTTTTGTGGAAGAAGTTCTTGTTGCCTTCATTAACTTGTACGAAGTAAATGTTAACTTGTTCTTGTAAGTATTATTTTCCTCAGTTGTCTTATCGACCGATAGTACCATTTAATTGTGCTTAAGTTTGTATTTAATCGTAAATGCTTTATATTAGGGCAGATGGTATTCCCAAAACTTCAGAGTATGCGTACTTTAAAAAGGTGAAGGAGTCTATGATCCAGCATAATCATCATTTTCGGGATACAGAATGTGATCAGGAATTGAATGATGCTGGGAGTTATGAAAATGCCCGACATAAATTGAAAGAAAAAATGAAGGCACCTTATACTAATGATTCTGTTCGTGGTATGTTATCCTTTCTAGTTGTAACTAAGGTCTAAGCCAGTATATTCTTCCATCTTCACTTCATTCGCGATATGTAAAGTATCCATGAAGAGCATTTGTATTGATCATTTTAAAACCTAACATTGTTGGTTCTTTTATACTCCGGCTGGTATATAATTTAAAAGAGGCTTTGAGAAAATCCAACACGTTGAATTGTGATGTCAAAGATAAGTTGTCAGCTCTACCAGAAAAAGTAAGCCTTAATAACCGGTGCATGTTTGTCTCGCCTGAAGTAGGGAGATGCAAGAGCCCTGGTGAGGTAGGAATAATTTTCTTCTATATTCAGTCATTTACATTCTTCACATCTTGTAATGCTTTTTTTAATAATAATGACAATTTTTAGTAATGCAGGCATGTCCAGTAGGCTCAAATTACTCTCCCTTTTTGCATCATAAAACTGTAGACAAAGTTTTGCATTTATCACCTCAATCAGCTCCATCAAAGCATTCAGGTTCAGGCTGTGATTATGTGTATCTTCTTATTAAACATTCTACAAGCATGGGTGACTTAAAATTGAGCATTAGGCAGATAATACTTGGAGAGATATTTTTTCTGCAAAGAGACAGAAGTTACGCCGGTGGGTAGAAATGTCTTTTGCTGGCACAGAAAACTTGACTTCCAAGGGGTCAGCATTTTGTCGCTCGAATTCTATACAATGATATGCTAGTGGTGCTAAAATTTTTCCATTTAGCAGTTTTGAATAAATAATTTACTGGCTGAATTCATTTGAATCCCCCAGGTGTGACATGTTGCCTCTGCTCCTTAGTCGCCTTTCCCCCAATGGCAACGAGAGCAAAGTATGATGTGTATATTCCAATTGCATGAAGTGCTTTCACCATTTGACTGCTTGTTTTTTTTTTTTTTGCTGATATTTGATTTGGACAATGGTGGTAGGGTTCAAGGACCACATACAATACTGGCTGCTCACCTGTTCTTCCAGAGTTGGATCTCTCTGAGATGAGGCATGATCACAGTTACAAAAGAGATTTAACCACATCAGAGTTTGAATTATTCCAAAGTAGGGAACTTTCAAGGTGGTCTGGCGCAACAAGAGCCATGTTGGATTGGCCTGATTTTGCTTCATATAATTATTTTTCCAAATTTGATGCAAAAACTATTCCACACAGTGAAGTATTTGATAATTGTCAAGCTCCGTATCGTGTCAAAGATAAAAGCTTGTTGAAACAGATCGGTTCACCCGTGCACTTAAATTATGAAGGGGATGGCCATAGTGATTGGTATTATCATCATGAAGAACCAGAAAAGTTCTGTTTGCGGGATGAATCTCCAAGAAGAGAAGCAGAAACCTTATTGCTGGATTGGGATTTCGACAAGGAGAAAGATGAACCTGAAACAGCAATAATTACTGCTAGCAGCTCTGAGCACATAACACATTCACAAGTTGTAACACCATCCTTACTTCCTGATCATTCTCTACATGTTTGCGCCTTACCATTCCATCTGACTGCTCTGCCAAAGGAACTAAATTCTTCTCACTCTTCCTCGTTGTACAATGAGGATCACGGCAATGGTGTTTCCTATTTTCTAGACGATCTTCGGTATACCCCAGACAAGTGTTTTAGTGAGAAGCGAAACCTAGATTATGATGCATTTTTATTACCTGTGGTGCTGAATGTTTCGGAATGGAACATCTTAACTGCAACTGGTTTCCCTTGGCATGAGCATTTTTCTCAACATTGTTATAGAAGTAGATATGGTACTGAACCAGAGAAAGCATGGAACATGGGCTGTTCGAATTCAAGACGAATCGATTGTCAAGAATCCCATGAGCTGCCCTCTTGTAACTTTCAAACATCATTTGACAGAAAGATTGGACATCCTTTGTTGCTTGAAGACTCGACCGGGGCAAAATCAGACAACGAACCATTCATCGGAGAGTTCTGATGAATGGAAAAGTAGCTGAACATCCAGGTACAGAGTACTTGAATTTTAAGTTGTTGCATCCTCTGGATATGTTCTTGCACAAGTTTAGATGAATGAGGAAGAGTCCAAATAACTCTGTAGGCAACTGCTCCAGACAAGTTTGTCGGGCAGTAGAACTAACTAGCGAAATGAAGTTTAGCCCGAAGCACCCCGTGGCGGACCCAGGATTACAAAGGAATGGAGTCAATATTTTGCTTTGACAACATTATTGTATATTATCCATTTTCGGTTAAACAAATAAAAAGATACAGATAAATGTTTCACATAAAAAATAAACACTGAAACTGAGAATATTAAAAAAAAAATTATTTGCACTAAATAGCACTAAAACTTATGTCATTTTCCTAATTAGACCCTTAAAATGTTTTATTCCCTAAATAGCACTTAATAATGTACATAATGTCCCGTGATGACAGACATTTACTTGAATAATGACTAATGGATAATGACTAAAAATGCTACATTGGGAAAAAAACACTTGTGATGCTATTTAGGAAAAACCATTATGTTTTAGTGTCATTTATAAATTCCCCAGTTCTCGTTTTATGGTCCGTTTGGAAAGGGGGAAATGGTGAGGATATGATAGGAAAGGCGGATGGAACTTGCGATGGAGGATTTGAGAAAAAATTTTGAGCCTTGGAGAAGACGCAAAAAAAATCGAACTCGCATGGTACCATACCAAACCGTTATGGTACCGAATTGCTTATAGTATTTTTAAACGAGATTGATTTTTTTATCACAAACCGGAACCGAACCGATATCAAACGAGACAAGACCGTGATATAAATATTTAAAACCGATTATCACGAGCTGAACCGTTTAAAGCTATATACGGAGTATCTAAGATAATTATTTGTCTAATTCATCATACCTCATATGGAGTATTTCGTATTGTATTATTTATTTTTAAAATTCTTTCATTATTATTGTTGATATTATATTTATTACTACTATTGCCATTATTTTTTTAGAGCTATTAATAGTATGATATTGTATAAATTGAAAAGAAAATCTATTTTAAATATTTCAACTCATTATCTTTTATTCTCTATATTTATGATCTGTTTAAATTTGAAATCAATACTTCTATTTAGCAAACTTGAGTGATGCATCCTCATTTTTTTGGCACGATTTGAACATGGGTATGGTATTGTATCGTTTCGTTTCAAAAAATAATGAGACCGAATGGTTTTAGGTTTCATACCGTATTGATACCAAACCATTTAAATAAGAGCTGCCCGTGATAAGTTCCGATAGTATTATGGACTGTCACGGACCGCATCCACCCCTTATTTTCTAGATTTCAAGCTTCATTTTCCCATAGACCATTGGCCATTTTGCATTGACCTTCCTCCCAAACACTGGGAAATAGCTTTTGAAAGTCATTTTCTCATTCCCAAAGAGATCCCTAGTATGAATCACTTCAAACAAAGCCTCAATAATATAACTAGTCCTAATATTGAATCAGTTCAAACGAAGCCTCAATAGTATACAGAGTAATGATTTAATGACCAATATTGAGGCTTTTTAACCTGACTAGTCCTCCTACGTTTAAAATTCAAGATTAAAAAAAATTAATGTCCTTTAATCAGACTAGTTCTTTTACGCCTTTATTTAAAAGACTCAATTCTACGACCATTCCTTTGGACTAGTTTTGGATAATACCAGTTCAATTGGCACACTTAGGGACACGTAACATTCAAACAAGACAACGTAAACTATGGTGTCTTGTTTGCCAAATACCCCCTATCGTCTCCACATAGCTCGAACCTAACTCATCCCCCGCACATTTTAATTATGGGTGCAAGTTTAGTTAATTTTGGGATAAAAAGTTTGATACCAAAATAAACTAAACTTGCCACCACATTTGACGTGAGTGGAGGAATGGGTTGGGGTCGGGCTGGATGGAGGGGAAGGTTTATTAGGGGGTTAAGCAGGTAGGAATTATCAATTTTACAAACGGAGCACTATAAGTGTGCCGGTATCCTTCGAAGCCACTTACTTTGGGTGGCTCTAAAACCCAGCCGTTATTTTAATTCATGGACCACATAAGACCATGATCTTGGACTAAACGGCCTCTTATACTAGTTTAACTCATTTTTACCATTCAATCTTCATCGATTCTTTTAGTTTCGACTCTGATTTTTCCATGTCAAATCTGCATCAATTGTTTTCATTTTAGTTTCAAATTTCAATGCCCTTCATCACTACCCCGTAGGCTTGGACTATGAGAGCATTGGAAATATGTTTGAAGCCCGGGGCTTCAAACTTTCTCTCTCTGCCACATCAGCTTCAACCTCTCTTTAACTTATCTCACAGTTTCAATGGAAATGAGTTTGAAGCCCGTGACTTCAAATCCTTGTTTTTTCCATTTTTAATATACATTTTGTAAAAGTAAATTAATAAGATAAGAAAGCACAAACTACACATATGCAAGTAACAAAGTAGTGGTTGTACTATTAACGAAAGAAAAACATTAGCAGCAAAGAGCACTCAGCATACAAAGCACACAACAAGAAGCACAGAAACTACCACCTAGCTCAAAGCGTTTACTCCATTATCTAATCTTAGCTCTCCAAATGTTTCTATATAAAGCCAGATCATCAAATAAGAACAACAATTCCTAAGTCCCGGATAATCATTTCATTTCTTTCGAGGTCTACCAATTTTCTTACTTTCATCTACCAACAAAAGCCTGTAGTGTTTTTGAAAGAACAAAAATGAAAAATATAAATTTTATAACAAAACAAAAAGAATTTTACGAATACATTTTTTAAAAAGAAATTTGAAGGGAGGGGGAAAAAGGTAAAATACTTTTTTATGGACAGATGCAATTTTTATTTTATGTGGCAACTCTTCACTTCATATTGCCTTCAATATCTCACAATCCTATAAATAATTCAGAATAAACAGTATGCAGACATAAAGTCGGTGGACAGCTGATAATGAAAGCTTGGTTTCGGCTTAATCGGCAAATCTCCGGCGAAATTGTCTCTGGAATGCGGTTTCCCGGCGAGACGTTCCTCGGCTCCGGTGACACTCTCATCCTCGCACGCTTTCTCTCGCTACATCTCTAAAGCGTACACGCCTCCGGCGGCCGGCGTGTGGAATCTACGGCCGCGCCACCCTCAGACCTTCGCTTCGCCACTGTAAATATTCCAACTGTTCGTTAAGTAGAGGTGCTCCACCATTTTTACTTTATGTTTCCCTTTCGATCTCCCCTTTCCAAGGCAAATCAAATCTGATTCTCGATGCTTTTCCCCTTTTTTTGTATTTACCTTTTACTACGCAAATTTATGCCTTTTTAGCGGAGGATAATTCTTTGTGTGTGTGTTGAAATTATTACCTTTGACTCATATTTATCTAGGGCAAGGATTTTACTTGCAATTTAATTACTTTTACGAAAGAAACTGACATGAACAACATTCTATTTAAACACCATCTTTTGAAAGTTTGGTGAATCTAGTGGAGTGTTTGGCATTATATGTATTGGAGATATTCTGTATATTTAATTGCGTTTGTTATGTAATTAGACCGCTGATGGCACTTGGAATTCGTTTGTGCTGTTTTGGGAATAGTTGATGTTGAGTTCTATGAAAATATGCTGAAAGTCTTCAACACTATACAGTCATCTTTTTGTCCTATCTGATTATTTCTTAGTATTATGTAGAAAGTTTTGATTGGGCATTAGTAGTTAATTCTGGCTTATGGTTTAGTAAACCAGTCTTTGTGTCCTGAAACTGTAGTATTCTTGATTTGTAATGGTCTAGATTTCTCTTCTTGTTACATAGCTACTACCATTTCAACTCCTTTTCCCCTCTTCTTCTGTTAAGAGATAAGACTTCCCCTTTCTGGATATGAAGATAGGAAGCAGCAAATTGAGATTAGGCCTTGAGATCATGCTATTTTATCGATAATCCTCGGGGAGACCTTTTTCTTTTTCTAATGCTATTGGACAGTGCACTAATAGCGCGAGTTAGTGTGAGATTTCAAAATCCGCTTTATGCTCTTATAATGGATCCTAATGTTTTAAACTCTGTGAGTATCATTGCTGCATTAGATCTAGCAATGGATTTACTGTTGAACATTTTTTTCCCAGGTGAGATGAATGTGGTTCAGAATAGCAAAAATCGCAATCTTGATAAACCATTTCCAGGATGTTTGGGAAGAATGGTAAACCTTTTTGACTTGAATAGTGGGGTATCAGGGAACAAGTTACTCACAGAAAAACCACATAGAGATGGTAAGTCCTAGTTTCATACCTGGAGTATATCTTTTCTTTCACATGTTGCATTTACAATTCATGATTCCTAAAGGAGAGTTGGAACTTGGAACTGGTGATCATTACTTTTCCAAAAGAACTCTTAACTGTCTCAAATTTGAGTAATTGAACTGTAGGGTTATATTCTGTCATTGTGATTGAACTGATGCATTGAAAATTGAAGTATGAAGTGGTTAAAGAATTGCATTATTGAGAAACAGTTTTTTTCAACTCTTTGTTAAACTCATTTAAGCACAATTAATTTTATAGGTTCTCTGTCAAGGAGCAACTCAGATGTGACATGGATGTCTTCAAATGAGATTCAGATTCAGGATAAAGAGGTATATCTGTTAATTAATAAGGAACAATTAGTTTGGGATGTTTTGAAGCTCAACTATAACATTTGTATTATTTTCTTTTGTAAAATGGCATGCATACAGATTGTGTCTCAAATTAGTAGAGATGCTTTGAAAACAAAAGTAAATGGAACACCAATGAAGATGCATTTAGCCAAAGAAATGTCAAAAGACATATCCTCCAAGTACAGTCCACCTAGTGTTGTAGCCAAGTTAATGGGGCTTGATGCCTTTCCATCACAGCCACAAGTTTCTACTATGCATAGAGACTATTCTGGAGGTCATGAACAAAGTGCTGAGGGTAATACAACTCTGAATTGTTGCCACCATAGAAGTGTATCCTTAGACACAGAAGTAGGTCGGAAGTATTATCAATATCCGGAGCACAGTGAATGCAAAGATGTTTATGAGGTTTGGCATAGCCAACAGGAGACAAATCCCATGCGAAGTAAATTGCCACAGAAGGGAAGATTTAATGAAACTTCAAATGACAAGAAAGCGGCTTTTGTCCGTCAGAAGTTCATTGAAGCCAAATGCCTATCTGTAGATGAAAAATGCCATGACTCTAAGAAGTTCCATGAGGCTTTGGAGGTTTTGAGCTCCAACACTGATTTATTCTTGAAATTTCTCCAAGAACCGAGGCCGAACACTATATCTGAGCGTGTATATAATCTGCAGTCTATTCCTGCTCCTGAGACCAAGCGGATAACTGTTCTTAAACCATCCAAGATGCTGGATAATTGCAAATTTGTTGGAACTGGGAAGAATGAAAATGTGACGAAAGGAACCAGTCAGGTTGGTCAAGTGAACAGAATAGATAAACCCCATCCAGATCATTCTGACAATAGTACGATTCAACCAACTAGAATTGTAGTTCTAAAACCTAGCACGGTAAAATATCATGAACTCAATGCTTCGAGTTCCCCACCATCACAAGGAAAAAAGTTTTTTGGTGTTGTGGACGAAAAAGATGCTCGAGAATCAAGAGAAGTGGCAAAATCAATCACACGACAGATGCGTGAAAGTTTGGCCGGGCATCGGAGAGACGAAACGTTGCTTTCTTCTGTGTTCTCCAACGGCTATGTTGGTGATGAGAGTTCATTCAACAAATCCGAAAGTGAGTGTGCCGCAATGAACCTAAGTGATTCTGAAGTTATGTCACCACTGTCTAGGCATTCATGGGATTACATTAACAATAAGTTTAACAGTCCTTATTCTATCTCCTCATTAAGCCGTGCATCCTATTCTCCAGAATCATCAGTATCGAGAGAAGCAAAAAAGCGGCTTTCTGAAAGATGGGCCATGGTTGCATCTAACCGGAGTCATCAAGAACAGAGACATCCCCGAAGAAGCTCTAGTACTCTTGGTGAGATGCTTGCTCTTTCTGATGCAAAGAAGTCAGGAACACCTGACGGGGAAGGAAATGAGGAAGTAATAGAATTGACTAGCTGTTCAGTTGAGGATACAAACATGAATGATGTTGAAGTTAATTTACCAAAGAATCTTTTGAGATCAAAATCTGTCCCTACATCTTCGACAACATTTGCTTCCCAGTTGAATATGAACGTTCCAGATCTAGGGGCAGAAATGACTGGGGGTTCTAGAGACAAAACAAAGGAAAGAAGCACAAAGTCATCTCTGAAGGGGAAAGTTTCAAGCCTTTTCTTCTCGAGGAACAAAAGAAACTCTGAAACTGATGAATCTCCTTTCATTGGAAATCCTTCAAGTTTCCTTACAAAAGTGGAGGAAAATAGAGGTGAATGCATCATAGGAACAGGCGTTGAGTGCTCACCACCTGATTTGCATGGTTTGTCAGGTGAAGCTAGTTCTCCAGATTTTGTTGAAAAACAAGGCTTGTTTGCTTCATCAGAGGTAATGATCATCATATATTAGCAACTGGCAAGTACATGTTTTATATGCTTGAGTTTTATTAAATACCCCCTGCATCTCCCAAAGAATCGTGTTTTTCAAAAGTAATTTTATTCAATCACCACGTGCACTTGAAAAATACGGAGTATGTTTTAGGTGTATTAGGAAACCTTGTAAATGGTTGAGTTTTATTAAATACCCCCTGCATCTCCCAAAGAATCATGTTTCAAAGTCAACTTTACTTTTAAAAAGTAAAATTTTATTCAATCACCGCGGACACTTAAAAAATACAGAGTATGTTTTAGGTGTATTAGGAAACCTTGTACCATGATCTTATGAGTTGATTAAAAATCAAAGGCTGCACCTTTATCAAACATGAATCTGTTTCTGGACAGATGAGCTCGCTTCCCCAGTCCCCACCTAATGACTATAATATGCTCTGAACTAGACATCCATCTATCAATTTAACTTTTTAAGATTATCATAATTTTATCTTTTCAAGTTACATGTGATCTGGATTGGCATAATTTTGGTCAATTTTTTGAACTGGACATAATAAAATGGGACAATTCTGCAGAGTGTACCATCTCTGAATTTCGGAAATCTAAAGGAGAGCCACGAACAACCAAGTCCTGTATCAGTTTTGGAGACCTTTGAGGAGGATGGACATTCAGCAAAATCATCACTTGGTAATATAAAACCATACTATCGGTGTAAGTTTTTTCCCCAACATCACAGGAATTCTTCCCTTTTGTTCAATCAATATATATCTTCTTATTCCATTTTTTTCATCCAAACAAACAGCAGGGGAGTTTTTGCCTCATCAACCCATTGGGTCCAACAATCTAATAGACAAATCACCTCCCATTGGATCAATTGCTCGTACACTGTCGTGGGATGACTCTTGTGTAGATGCACACTCCCATAAACTGGCAGTATCAACTTGTACACCCGATGAAGAAGAACGTGAATGGTTCTTCTTCATCCAGACCCTACTCTCCGTGGCTGGCCTCGATGAAGTATCCAGGTGGCATTCTCCAGACAGCCCACTGGACCCATTACTTAGGGACACATTCATCGGTTTGAACGAATCGCTGCATGAAGCGAAACGAAGGCAAAGGAGATCGACCAGGAAACTCGTGTTTGATTGCGTGAATGCTGCACTGATGGACATGGCCGGGCACGCTCGCGACAAAAAAATGAATTTTGATTGTGACCATAATACCCTCTCGGTTGTATCAGCCGACCGTGTTTGGGAACGGATAAAGGGATGGTTTGTCAATGATGGTGAGGACACCACCGCCAACGACCTAGCGGAGAGGATGTTGAGAGAGGAGGTGGTGGGGAAGAGGTGGAGTGAGCATTCGCGGATGGAATTGGAAAGTGTGGGGAGAGAGATCGAAGCGAGGTTATTGGAAGAGATTGTGGAGGACGCCGTGGTCGAATTGGCGGCTTCCATGTGAAGCAAAGGGGCAAGAAGAGCTCTTCCTCTATCTCTTTTGTGTACTATTTTGAACTAACACTCTGGGTATTGTTATAATTATTATTTTTTATTATTAATTTATCATTGTTATGCCCCAAGTTCTAACACAAATGATGGTTTTGTCACCTAAGCTACTTCTTGCTGCAATTGCATGAACTTGCTGTATGTGAATATTTATTCTCCATATCATTCCCTTCAATTTACTTTCTTCACATTTCTTCCTCTCTTGTGATTTATAGACAAAGAAAATTTGAGTACGGGCTCTTATTAGATATGTCTTGATATAAATTTTTCATAAATAACATTTGTACTAAAATATAACCGGAGGGGTTCCCATGACATTGGAATCCCTGTCATGGGTTGACCCAGAGTCACTACGGTGTCCCATTTGTAAAATTAACGGTTCTTATCCCCACTAACCTCCCTGACCCAAACACACCTCCACCCCTTCAATAGCACCCCCAAATTTGTTTGACTTTAGAATCAAAATTTTGACACCAAAGCCAAATAAACTTGGGGGGTGCAATTGAAGGGGTGAGGGTGTGTTCGGGTCGGAGCGGAGTGGGGGGTTTATTGGGGAAGTAGGGGGTATGAAATATCAGTTTTACAAACGGGGCACCGTAGCGGTCCCGGATCATCCCATGACATGCGGTTCAAATGTGCTCGAAGTATAACTTAGGTAACTTATGGTTTAACTCGTGCGTTAACAAACGTAAGATAAATGTAAGTGATGATGCAACTATATATGTCAGCTGTGAATTTTAGGTGATGTTTCATTGGTAGAGTACTTTGGTATGTATAAATGGACAAAATTAATTCTCTCTCTCCACTGGGTCAGCTACCCCCTTGCACAAACATTGGTTGGTTGGTTACACCAACAGAAAGTGTGCACATGTGACTTAAATGGCCGAAAAAACAAGAACTTAATTAATATCTGGACTACTAATGCTTCATACTCCCTTGGCCCCATATAATAATAGATGGTAAATTTTTTCAATTCATTTTTTTACTATGAGTAACTCTCTTATAATTATAGCATTTGTTCATATCTACTTTCTCAACCTACAAAAGTATCAAGAGCTACTATTGCATTTCATTGGAGATTGAACATGTGATCTCCCATTTTGAAGAGTCACCTTGCTGCCATTGGACCATAAGTTCTTTTGGCACAATCCATTTTAATTAAAGATGGGTATACGAAAAAAAATTGCATGTTTAAAACTACATAAAAAGTTTTGCATAATAAGAGGTAAAAAATATTTTATTTTATTAAATAATCAATGAAAATGCATAAATAAGAATAGTCATATTGTAATCAATAATGGAACGCATGGAGTATCTATAGTCTCATAGTGAAATGATTCTTTATTCACGAGTTTGAACCCCAGGGATTACGTATGGAGTTTTTGTATTTTAGTCGATTGCGAAAGTTTGTCGTAACAAAGTTAATAATATCAAAGAATTAACACTTCGACCAACCGAAAATCATTTTGGAGTATCGTTAATGAAAAGATGATTCTTGGGATAGATAGGGTAAAAAATAATTAATTGATTACTCCATAAATCATACGGAGTAACTATTTAGAAAATACAAAATACGGAGTATTACTTATGTAATGTGTGGGGAAAAAAAATTCTATTTGGTCTTATTTCATTTCAAATTTCATTTCAAATAAATGTTTGATGTTTGGTGAGAAGTGAGAACCTTTTGATAAGAATAAGCTAAAACAAAAAGTTACCAAATGTAAAGGGGACCTTAGTTTTAAAGTGCCCATTAAAAAGTTGTACTTTGCACGGTTATATGGATGAAAGTACACATATGTGAAGGCCACATGCTATTCAATACAAAGCACAATGGCAGAGACTAAAATAATACTCACTATTACGGAGTACTCCGCATGATTTACTGCCTCACTAATTTATTAGGTTGGGATTTAGGGATTTTGGGATTGGGTGTTTCACCTTTTTTTAGTTGTCTCTAATTGAATTTAAAGCTTGGACATCAGTCAATCAAACTCGTAATTAATTGATTATCATTTTCATCAATTCATGACATCTTCATCAAGCTCCAACAAATTTATTGATGAGTGTGTGATTAATGCACTCATAAATCTCATACACAGAGATCATTGATGCAATTTTTTTTTAAAATTCAAGGACCATTGATGTAATTTTCATAGTTTAGGGGGAATATATGCAATATTTGAAGAGTTCGACCGTAAATGAGATAAAAAAAACTTAGTGGACATGATATAGCAACATTGTAGCATTTTACAAACATTTTCAAAAGACTAGGAGTATTATAACACTAAAAAGCGATGTCAAAAGAATCGCGGGGCACAATATACTCCCGTCGTCTATAATTAATCGTTTCACTTTTATTTTTGATCCGCCCCTAAATAATTATTTCGCTTTACTTTTCTAACAAGGAAAAAATATGTGATCCACAATATTTCTTTTTCACCTAATCAAATTTCAATCACGTACTAAGTTTTTAATTTTTAACACTTTTTTAAACTCAATAAAATCAAATTAGGACATTTAATTCAAGACAGGGTAACATTTATTTAAATTAAATGCGAAATCTCCCATCGGTTAGCTATTAGTGATTGATTAGGACAAATTTAAACAAATATTGTCAATTCAACCTAAAATTCATGCATACGAAGTATTTGAGTAGTGAGCTATTTTTATTTGTTCCTCGTAAATTTTCTTATTACTTATTTTAAATTTAATTAAAATACCACAACTATCCATCACTTATTTTATTTATTACACTTCAGTCAGCTCATTTAATACATTCTACCCATTTTCATTAAGAATATTTTGGTAATGTTTCACCTTTTTTCAATTCTTCTTAAAAAATCACAAAAAGCCAGGAAAAGAAGATCTTAGAGGGACGGAGGAGTAATTAGTATTTTTTCATCCAAATTTTATCTTTTTATTTGATTTTTCATAATTTTTATTGGTACACTTCCATCATTAATATTGATATTTCTACATAGATATTTAATTATTATATGCTATTTATGGAATAAAACAATTTAAGTGGTATTTAGGGAAATGACTTAAGTTTTAGTACTATTTATTGAAAATATTTCTTATTATATTTTATAAATAATAAAGATGCTCGGGTAAAAATTAACCAAAAGAAAATACATGGAGCTTGTTCTTTTCAACATATTCCTCTTACTCATTACTCATTTTTATTGGAATAAATCGGATTAGGAACAACTTTAAGTATAACTAGAATAAGATCATATCACAACTTAATCGAATCAAAACGAATCGCATTAATTTAAAAAAAGATTAGTCCATATACCAGTAAGCAATTAATTAGTAGATGGGACAATATAATGCAGGTAAATGTAGTTAAAGGGCATTTCAAGTACTGCACATATCATCAAGAGCTGTAAAAATGCCGCCCACCGCCCGGCCTTTAATTTCACTATTAATTATTATTATTGTTAATTTCTTCAATATATATAATTCCTCTCTTCCCAGACTATATCTATCTGTCTGTCTATACATATACATACATCGCACCATCACTTTTTCTCCTCACATGCATTCCCACACCACATAAGAGTGAATTTAATTAATTATTATAAGTATAGTATATTAACGTACATTTAACTATATATTTTTATTACAGAGTATTATATTTATAATCTAATTTAATTAAGGTGTCATATATTGGACCGTCGGAGCTATGTATGACACTCACCCTCACGGCGGCGACGTCAGGTTTACCCTCATTGTGATTGCGGCGGCGGCGGCGGCATTATTGCCGGCGGGTGCAGAGGCGGCTCGGGCGTTCTTCGTGTTCGGGGACTCGTTGGTGGACAATGGGAACAACAACTACCTGGCCACCTCCGCCCGGGCGGACTCCCCGCCCTACGGCATTGACTACCCCGACCACCGCCCCACCGGCCGCTTTTCCAATGGCTACAACATCCCTGATTTTATCAGTAAGTTTATTTTTTCTTGTTTTGTTTTTAATAACGATATTTATTGTACGTATTTTATTAGTGCGGAGTAATTAATTACGGAGTATTATTTTTTTAATGATGTGATGAAACAAAAATAAATAATGCAGGCCAGGCAATAGGTTCGGAACCGACGTTGCCGTACTTGGCCCCGGAGCTGACCGGCGAGCGGTTGCTGGTCGGTGCTAATTTTGCTTCTGCCGGCATCGGGATTCTCAACGACACTGGCATTCAGTTTGTATGTACTCTATTTACTATACCCCCAAAAACAAAATGTTTGATTTTATTGGTCAAACATTAATTTATTTTTATTAGAAATTATGAGAAAAGTATTTTGAATTATGATATATATATTCTATATAATTGGGTTAATCTTAGGATATATAGTTTTGATATATCAAATTTTTATAACATTTAGTTATTTAGATTATTTTTAATTTATAGTCAAAGGGTGTTACTGTTTGACAAAAAGAACAAAACGAAAAGAGTTTTCAAAGACTCAGAGAGTATTATATTCACGCCTACGGCCGACAACAATGTCATTTAGACCATGTTCAATTTACTCCGATCTCTACATCTTAAATTAATTGTCTCACATTGTATTTCAATTTACCATACCAAACAAATTGCCTCCCTAAAATCAAAATGAGAAAATAAATCCACGCAGAATATATATTTTCAGCCAATCTAACAGGATATCACTTTCGTCCCAGTGTATTTGTTGAATCCTGACCTCTTCCAGTCAACTATTTTTTATCTTTGAGTTCAAATTGAATAAAACATTTATAGTATATTAATTATTTTGTATCAACATCTAATACATAGTATCAATTTTATTCGAGTAGTGGTCGAAGTTTGTCATTATTAAACACAAAAGTTAAAATTGGACAAACGGGAGTTAGTGAGGATTGGTGGTAAGTTGTAACCCCACAAATATAGTAACCCTGTGACATAGTGCATATTTATGGCCTGAGCAAACATATCATCCATACGACAAAGACAACTCTCTAACTCCCTACCTAGTCTGTCTAAATACCCTACCACAACTTTATTATTGTTGTTGCATGCATGTATATGTTTGATTGAATAACAATGCATGGAGGCGGGCATATAATTAAATATATATGCAGGTGAACATCATAAGGATCGGGCAACAGCTACAGTACTTCGAGCAATACCAACGGCGGCTGGCCGCGGTGGTTGGGGCGGAGCAGGCGAAGAGCCGGGTGAACAAAGCGCTGGTCCTCATCACTCTCGGCGGCAACGACTTCGTCAACAACTACTTCTTGGTCCCCGTCAGCGCCAGGAGGCTCCAGTTCACCATCCCTAACTACTGCCGCTACCTCATCTCCGAATACCGAAAGATCCTTACCGTACGTTTTCTGACACCGCCCGCCAACGTTATATTTCACATATTAATACTTAATATGTGAAATGATATTCATAATGTCCAATGATGACGAACATTTGCTTAAATAATAACTAATGGATAATGATTAAAAGTGCTACATTGTAAACAAAATACATGTGATGCTATTTGGGAAAGTCATTATGTTTTAGTGCTATTTACGTAAATTCCCATTCATCCAACGCTAAGAAATAACGACACACAATGTCAAATTCTAGGCATTTTGCTGTGTCAACGCTCCTATTTAGAAGATATTAATAAGATATCTTATTTTGATATACGTTACGAATTTTAGTCATATTTGGATATATTTTTTAAACAAAAATTGTTCTACATGCATGCATGCAGAGGCTATATGAGCTCGGGGCACGAAGAGTGCTCGTGACAGGGACAGGTCCGTTGGGGTGCGTCCCAGCGGAGCTGGCCGAGAGAGGTAGGAACGGGCAGTGCGCGGACGAGCTCCAGGAATCTGCCGCGATCTTCAACCCGCTCCTCATCCAGATGATCCAGGACCTGAACCAAGAGTTGGGGTCCACCGTGTTCGTCGCGGTGAACGCCCGGGAGATGCAAAACGACTTCGTCCACAACCCGCGGGCGTACGGTTTCACCGAATCGAAGGTGGCGTGCTGCGGGCAAGGACCCTACAACGGGATCGGGCTTTGCACGGTGGCGTCGAACTTGTGCGCCGACAGAAACGCGTACGTGTTCTGGGACCCGTTCCACCCGTCAGAGAGGGCAAATGGGATCATCGTCCGGTCCATTCTCACTGGAACTGACAAGTACATGATACCAATGAACCTGAGCACCATTATGGCCATTGATTCTTCTGATGAGTAGCACCTCAGCTTCATAAGCTTGATCAGTCTTTGTTAAAATCCTAATAATAATAATAATAATAATAATAATAATATATTTTCATTATTGGCATTGAACGATTCTTCTGATCGAGTTTTTTAAAAAAAGTGTTATCATATCACACTATAGAGTTGTTATTAAAACTCGATCTCAATCTCAGTTGTGTGATTATATGTATAATTAAATTGGTACGTAATGTATGTGTTGGCCTCTAATTAAGGGCAACAAATTATATACGGAGTATATGTATTTATAACCTGTGTTAATATGTATAATTCCAAGGGTGAATGTTGTGCTTTTTTACATGTTTTACTGAAGCAAGTATCCTTACTTCCTAGTCTTAGGAATATAATCCAACAATTTTAGATTAAATAATTAACACTAAGACCGAATACATAGAATGTTGCTTCAATGGCTGGCAGGGGGACCGATTTAAAAGTGGAAATAAGGATTGATTCACACATCGAATATCTATAAAAGACAAGTTTTAATATCTTAGTTTAATCATTCAAAGAGATGTGGAGATAGATAGCGATGCCGTGCATTTTATTAGAGTTGTTTGTCTAAAATAGGCAAATGGGAGAACTCCATATGTAGAATTAAAAAACTATGAAAATACCAAAATATGAGTCACAAGTCTTTTAACATCAAAATAGGAGTTCTCACTCCCATTGTTACAATGCCACACTCACCACATTGTACATTGTAAATTTGTAACTGCACACTACAACCCCCACACTGACATCCGTCACCGCCGACCACCCGAGCGCCGCCACAGATTGTCGATGGTTGACTGATCACTGACATATTACACTCTCAACACTTTTCCATCACACTGCCAACATGTACTCTTGCACTACACTGCCATTATATTCCAATTTTGGTTTTAAAAGATTTAGAACTCCTATTTTGGTATTCTCTTACTTTTTTTACTCTTATTCAGGTATTAGGAATAATAGATGTATTAGGAGATTAAATAGTACGTAGTATTATTCATTACCTTCCTTATTACATTACTTTCCTTATTGTATTGTTACTATAATTCTTCACCTACTTAGATTCAAATTCTTTCTTGTAATCCCTACACATAGAAAAGTATCCTTCACTATTCAATAAGACCCATAGTGCTTCTTCATTGGCGTCTTGGTCATCCATCCTTTCAAGTTTTGATAAAGTGGATGTTATTAAATAGTGTAATCTACTAAAAAATGTAATTGGGCTTAACTTGGGCTTTCACGTCCAATATTCATAGCTGGATGAGCTATTGGATCAAATCATCTACTTGACTACAACTAATTGTTCGTACGTTATATTTAGGCGCAGTCGGGTCTTCTGAAAATTGGACCTTGTAATGGACCCCTTTATGATCCTTAATGGACCGGATACTGCATATACTGGTCCAGTTTAATAGACGAAACATATATCTCATGGGCCTCTCATGGCCCTTCTCTTGGACACTACGTAATATTTCGCGAACACTTCGGTATATTTTTTGGTTAGCTAATGCCCCTCCAAATTTAGTCAAAAAGTTTAACCGCAAACTCAATTAAATTTGAAGGGTGTTGTTAAAGAGAGTGGGATTAAACCGGGTCCGGCTAGGGTGAGTGTTACCGAGAAGGTTAGGGAGTATAAACCATCAATATTGCAAAATGAGCATTTTAAGTGCTCCAATTGACTCCACTGGGATCCCATTACATTTGAAAACCTCTCCGTCCTTGAGTATTTGTCCACTTATGACCTTTTCCAATCAAAATTAGTAAAGTTTGACCTGAAATTAAATAAAAATGATATTAGATATTGATATAAAAATAATTTTATTAGATTTATTATATGAAATATTTTCAAAGTATTGTTTTATCTAATTAATACACAATATATATTTTATTTAAATATGACTCAAAATTTGAAAATAATGACTAAAAAATTAAAAAATAGACAAATACTCATGAACGGGGTACTCAGCAGCTAATTTAAAATTTGAGGTTATGGCCATATTTGTACTTTGGTAGCTAGCAAAGTCTCTCAACAAAACTGCCTCACTGTAAATGCACATGATATAATATGATACCCTTTCTTTTCATGTGTGTACGGAAACCCAAAGAGCAAGTTAAGAAGTTCAATGAAATCTGCAGTGTTCAACGAATCTCTACCAATTTGTGAATAAAAAAGGCTTTCGTGTGCGCGGGAGTCTCAGGGGTAGATTCGAGTTTGATTTCCGAATTTGATTTCTGACAGTTATACCGGGAAATAATTATGTTAAACATAGAGTCTCTGCAAGTATCAAGTGCATGCTTCACTCTCATCCATTAATCTATGATTAAAGTTCAATTTATCTTTTTTTGGTGACCTCTAACCGAAATTGAGGGACTCTTCTAATGTTCTTCCGTATGAATAAAAAGCTTCAATTATTGTTCTTCAATATTCACCTACCACTAAAAAAAGGCTCAAGAATGAATAGAAAAAAAAAAAGAAGAGGCTCAAATGATAGGTACATGCAATCCAATTTTCTTGTTTGTGTGGCCTATTAACATCCAATCCAACTTAGATATGACAATATTCTCCTATTATATGTTCTTTAGGGTATCTTCAAGATCGGTCTTAAAAATTTAATAGTTTGGGTTGAGACGGAAAAAAGGCTTAAAGACATTATCATTAATGACTTAAAAAAAGAAAATGAGAAAGAAACTAATTGACAAAGAGTACAATTTTTCAGTTCTTTGATGATTTGATCACGGACATAATTTTTTTGACGAAGAGAGATAAAGAGGTATATAGAACGACAGTTGTTATGCACGCTCATATTTTTTGGAGAGAAAGGGATAAGAGGCAACAAAGCCATTTTTATGGCAATCGACTGTCGATGGTAAAGATCGACGGTGGCACACGGCCGTAAAAAAGATAGACTAGATATTTGAGAAGAGAGACTTTGGTTTTGATATCATATCGAGGAACTAACTCAATCAGAAGCGCAAACTTAAAATTTTAATGAACGAAGTACTTTTTGAAAACTAAAAGAGTACTCTCTGAGTCTCTGGAGGCTCCACAAAACAAGCCGAACGGTCATCAGAAAGGAAGTAAATTGAATTTTAATCACACATTACCTGCAAAATGTAGAAGATGCACCTGATATTTACATAAATTTTATGTTTAACATATTTAAATTTTATGTTAATGATCAAACTTGGACATTATTTACTTCATGCTTGGTCAACTTTGATTTTGAATATCGACGGCAAAGTCTAGTGTTTTTAAAGTCCAACATCAAGGGCAATGCCTTGTTTTGAGGTTTTGATAGATTTGACGATCGTGGACAGCTGGACTATCCAATCGTGTTACTCCGTACTTCACACTTCACCACAGCTCTAGTCACCTCTTAGCCTCAATTATCAATAATAAAAACAAAGGAAAAAAAAGAGAAATTTACGTAAATAGAACTAAAATATAATGATTTTATCAAAATAAGACTATATGTTTTTATTTTTCAATGTATGACCATTGGTCATTATCCATTAGTCATTATTCAAGTAAATGTCCATCATCACTAAACATTATTCCTCTTACTAGACATGATTAAGTACTATTTAGGGAATAAAAAAGTTTAAGTTCTACATTGAAAAATGACTTATGTTTTAGTCTTATTTAGTGCAAATTTCACACAAAAAATTAATGTGCCAAATGAAGTGCTCCCTTCATAAAATGAAGAATAAATTCCCAAAATAGTCATCTCTAATGAGGTGTTTTCTCAGATCAGTCTTCAATAAATTTTAATTACCTACGTAGTCCTTAACATGAAATTTATTTCCTGATTAACATTCCGTAATTCGTAAATAATGTTACTCAAATGATGATTGATTATGATTATTTCAATATTTTTTATCAGCTAAATTTAGCGTAAGTTTTAAAATGATTATTTCTAATGAAGTGTTTTCTCAAAATGAAGTTTTCTAATTAAAGATGTGTATTTGATTTGAATTCTTAGTATTTTTAATAGATTTTTAATAATTCATAGATTATGTATTGTTTTAATTTTACACGTAATTGTATAGAAATGACCATTTTAAGAATAAATTTTAAATTTAGATAATACAAATATGAATGCACCACTTAAAATCTCACTTTTATCCATACTAATTCTTACTCTATCTATCATACTACAATATTTCTTCTTTAAATTTATTAAAAATTAAAATGAGAACATGTTTATGAGACTGAGAAGGTATAAAAAAGCTACTCGTGTCTATGATATGATTTAGGAACCAATTTTAATCATACGGTAATTATGATATGATTTAGGAACCAATTTTACTACAATACGTAGTACATTTTTTTATTTACGTATTTTATTGGTAAAAAAGAAGATTTCGTCCAATGATTTAGGGGTACAAAATGTAAATTGACATGTCTACCCCTATTTTGAAAAATTTATGAAGACTTGACCTATACTACCGTATGATTAAAAGGTTGTACTCTATCCGAAACAGAAAAGAGGTGTCATTGTTATTTGTTCCTATTCGTACACTCCCAAATCCCAATTACTCCGTATTTGTGTCCAAACTTTTTTTTATCTACTCCTATTAAATTTAAGAATTAACTTAAATTTGCACTCTATTTGTACCCAAATATTCATAGAATCATAGATACACACATAAATGCACAGACATAGGTCGTGTTTGGAAAACAGCATTTGGGATAGCTTTTGGCATCTTTGACTAACTTTGATTTTTTTGACCAAGCGAACCGCCAAAACCATTGTTTGGCTAATAGCTTTTTCACTTGGATTTTGATCCGAAAAGCCAAAATCTGAAATGCCAAGGTGAGTAGCATTTGGACTTGGCGGTTAGGAAAAATATTTTTTTTGAAATCATTTTTGTTGAAAAATATTTTATAATATATGTAAAAAATAAAAATAAAAGTTAAAAAATTAAATACGAAAAAATAAAATGAAATTAAAAAAATTATATTTATAATTCATTAAAAAATTTATATTTATAATTTATTATATATTAAATGAAATTAAAATTTAATATTCCATATAGTAAAGATTTAATTTTACATGTAAAAAATGAAAAATAAATATCATGTCTATATATATATATATATATATAATATATATATATATATATATATATATATATACTCCCTTCGTCCACAAATAAACTTTACATTGCGCGTTACGATTTTTTAATGAAATTATTTTCAAATCATTTTATATGAAAAATGGTGTAGAATTGAAAAATAAAAATTACATATTAAAAAAGTATATCAAAAGATCTACAAAACTAGAGGTGACATGACTATATTATTTTATCAACTGGGTGGTGAAAATATGCCAACAAAGTGAATAAAATTTGACCATGTGAATAGTGAACGTAAAGTTTATTTGTGGACGGAGGGAGTATATATATATATATATATATATATATATATATATATATATATATATATTTATATATATAGGGTTCGGTTCCTGTGAGAATGAACCTTGTGGAGAGAAATGAAAATAGATCTAAACCATTAGATCTTGTGTATTATGCGGCTCAGATTTTGACAACTAGTTATTTGTTTATATGGTAAGTATTAATACATTTGCAATAAAATAGGAAGAGATAGAGAAGTGAGGGCATTTTTGTAAAGATTGCAGTAATTAAAATAGGTAACCATCCATACGCATTAAGGTCCGAATCTTTAGCCGTTATTCTAGGAGTAGTCATATTAATGATTGTAATATTAATCATTTTTTAATTGTGCAATAACGGATTTGTCAAGTTAATGATTTCTTTTTTTATGTTTTTTCAATTTGTGAACTATTTTTTTTATCAAAATCAATAATGAATAATATTTACTATTAACCTCTTTATAATATTTTATTTCTTTTTTTTGATTTATTTTAATGCATTTCTTAAAGTGCAAGAGATTTATTTATTTATTTATTATCATTAAAATTTTTTGACCCAAAATAATATATGGTTTATAATTCAATTTTTTTTCTCTAAATACTGTTCCATCATATATCCCTTTTTTCATCACTTTCTTT